ATTTGTATTTCTCTATTTTCTACAACAATGCTTAATAGATTTATAAGCAGGAAAAAAAAATACTCTTTTAATGGTTGAGTGGAGAATGAACTTTACTTGTTTTGACCTGTGATATTTGTGTCACTGTACAGTGCTAGAAGACCTATAGATAGCACAAGCATCAAATATAAAACATACTTTGAGATCACTAAGAGCTGGCTGTATTTGCCTACTTCAAAAGGCTGTTTTGTAAGTTCTTTCTTTAGCAACTGCAAGGCTTGATTATATACTAGAAGAATATTTACACAGGTGTGACCAATTCAAGAGTACTTACTATAATGTCAGAAAACTCAAATAAGTAACATGAAGGTAAGTGTTTACTTTACAAAAATATTAATTGTATCATACTGTCACATGTGCATTGTAAAATACTTCTTAGTATATGGAAACTTCTCTGCATTTTGAATATATAAATATATATATATCTCAGTTTCCAAAAGTCTTATTTGCATATCACTTTTAAGGGGAACATATGTAATATATTGAGTCATAGTGTGGCGCTGTGGGTTAATGCGTGGACTGCAAAGCCGTTTGACTCACAAATTTGGTGGTTCAAGATCACTAGCTTCTCCTCAGAAACCCAATTTGGAAACTCTGAGTTGGAACTGACTAAACCGCATTTAACAACAACAACAATGTAATATGTAAAGTAATATGAGACTAAATAATATGAAATCATTTTTAAAATCTGGGTTAATAGTATTTGATATATAAATTAAAGACAAAGCTGATAAAAATTACATCCTTCTTAGTTCAACTGTTTAGCAAAGGACCAAGCAACAGTAGTTGAAGGATAGAAAGTATTATTTTTACTAATGCCATCATCATTATTATTATTATTTTTTTTATAATTAACCCTGTTTTAACATACATTATTTCACTTTACCCTGGTAAGACTATTCTTATCATTACTTTTATAAGGTAACCAAGGCATGGAATAACTAAATGGTTTTCTAAGGTCGCACCCAGAACAAGGTATAGGATTCAGATTTTTCAAACTTTGGTTTGTTGTCCTTATATTACTACTTATAATTTGGAACTAGATTTTCATTGTTAATAAAGCTAGTAAAGTCTTGATTTTGTATGGAGCTTTATATTTTACAAATATATTTCACATACTGTTATGGATTGAATTGTGTTCCTCCAAAATATATGTTACAAATTCTAACTTTTATGCTTGTGGTTATAAATCTATTTGGTAATGAAATCTTTGTTATGCTAATGAGGCAAGATTAGTGCAGAGTGTGTTTTGAATCAGTCTCTTACAAAATATAAAAGAGCAGTTTAGGACTAGCAAGCAAGCAGAGACAGAGGAAGGTAGGTGCCAAAGCATATGGATATTGCCCAAAAACAGAAATTCAAAAGAGTCAAGGATCTTCCTCCAGAGCCAACAGAAAGAAAAAGCTTGCACCCTGAATTCAACTTTAAGTCTTCTGTGAGAAACCAAATTTTTGTCTGTTAAAGGCATCCACTTGTAGTATTCTGTTAGAACAATACCAGATAAGTAAATCACATAGATTATCTCATCTGCCTCTAAGAAAAACCGTATGAGGTACTACTAGTAACTGATACCTAAATCCTCATTCAATGGCTTTTCATATGTTACCATGTTGTGACAGGCAGCATCTAAGATGGTCTTCAAGGATCCATTCCTCCTGGTAGGCATGCACTGTGGAATCCCTTCTGCTTGAGTGTGAGCTGGACCTAGTGACTTGCTTCTAATTAATGGAATACAACAGGACTACAGCGGCCAGTGGCTACTGAACACACTCAGGCTTGACCATCGTCCGAGTTCCCTGGGCGTCCCTCTCTGGGCTACGGGTTACCGGTGGAGGTCTAGGCTGGTAGCCTCCGTCTGTAGTCTTGGTGTGGCACACTGGACTGCAGTGTTGGTTTGAACATCGAGGTCTGTGGTTCAAGCTCACCAGCCGTTCTTAAGAAACCCTATACAGGCTTGTTATGGGTTGGAACGGACTAGATGGCGCTTAACAACAATGGAATGTTACTTCCAAGATTAATTTACAAAAAGGCTGTGAATTTGTTCTAGGGGAAAAAGACTACAAATTCATCTTCCGGCACTATATCTGACAATATAATGTTTCAATATTCTGGTGCAATCTGACAACATTCCACCGCTGTCTATAAGGTTTTTAGTGGCTAAACATTTTACCAGCCGCTCCGCGGGAGAAAGATGAGGCTTTCTACTCCCGTAAAGATTTACACCCTCGGAAACCCTGTACAGGGTCGCTATGGGTCGGAACCGACTCGACGGCACTTAACAACAACAACAAACATTTGGTAATAGTCTGCCTTTCCTTTTTCCTAGTCTGAAAGCTCAGCTGAAACCTGTCCAACATGAGTGACCTTGCCAACATTCAAAATACTGGTGGCATAGTTTCCAGAATCACAGCAACACGCAAACCACCACAGTATGACAGACTGACAGATGAGTGGTGGATTGTCGTTGTTGTTGTTGTGAAGTGCCGTCGAGTTGGTTCTGACCCATAGCGACCCTGTATAAGGTTTCCGAGGAGCAGCTGGTGAGCTTGAACTACCGACCTTGCAGTTCAAATGGCTTTGCAGTCTGGCGCATTAACCCACAGCACCACAGAGTGGTGGATGGAAACCCCTTATTAAGACTTAAATAGGGCAAAGACAAGACATGAAGCCATATAGTATTCAAAGGATCCATGGCCACATGGCTAATAGAAAACAAAGGAAAGTGTAAGAAAATCATGATTGGCGGCAGATCACTTCATCACTGTTGCAGGTGAGACTATAGAAGCAGGAGGAAAGGATTGTGATTGTTATATGTACACAGTGCAGATTAGAAAAGTTACTGGATTGGTTCTGGGATTCCCTGATTACCTGGGTACTTGATGGTAGGGGTATGACTTATGAACTTGCTGCCCCGGAATCCAAAGTTCCATTAAGGGCACGCCCAAGAAAGTCCTCTGAAGATGAGACTGGCCCTCCCAGAGTTGGCTCACTCACTCTCATTGCCATGAGTAGATTCCGACTCAAAACCACAATGTATAATGCTTCCGAGACTATAGATCTTTACAGGATCAGAAAGCTTCATCGTTCTTGTGTGGAGCCACTGGTGGGTTTGGATTGCTGACCTTTGGATTGGTTCTCACTCATAATGACCTTGTATAGGGTTTCCAAGGAGCATCTGGGGGGTTTGAATTGCCAGCCTTGTGATTAGCAATCCAGTGCTTATCCTCCAGCATCACACCAGGGTTTATCCTACTTTGTTGTTGTTGTTAAGTGTCGTCAAGTCATTTCCAACTCAGTGATACTGTATAGGGTTTCTAAGGAGCGGCTGGTAAGCTTGAACCATCAACTTTGAGGTTCAAACCAACCTTACAGTCTAGAACATTAACCCACAGCACCACATCAGGACTCCTTTATCCTACTGTTGTTGTTGTTAAGTGCCATCAAGTTGGTTCTGACCCATAGTTACCCTGCATAGGGTTTACAAGGAGCAACTGGTGAGCTTTAACTATCAGCCTTGTGGTTCAAACCAACTTTGCAGTCCAGTGCATTAACCCATAGTGCCACAGGGGGGTTGTAATCTGCTTTCAAGCATTCTCTGCCTGAGGACAAAGCTTCTTACGTAGCAGGTTAATGGTCAGAATGAACTAAATGGTGGTTGGATTTATGTCAAGACTCAAAATGGAGTTACAGTTACCACTGTAAATCACGGCCTTTTCTGAACCAAGTACTTAAAATTTATGCTCTAATACAACTTTCATCTTGGAAACTCTCTGTCTCTCTCTTTCTCACACACACAAACACATCACAAACCTTGCTCCAGATGAAGCAAGCTTCAATGTCTGGGGAAAATAAGCTACAATGCTTTTTGTAACTCTATAATGTAACTCTATAAGGGGTCCATAAGGCAATGAGCTGATTCTAAAGACCTAAAGCTTTTCAACAACCACACAAAAAGTCTATCTACCTACATCTGAGCCTTGAAATGCTTGCAGCCACAGCTGACAAAGTAATTGCTGCTGTGAGCGACAGACCTCAGCCAGAGAACCTAGTTTAGATGTGTCCAGATTTCTGACCCACATAAACTGTGAGAATAGTTTTAAGGCTTTTCGTTTCTTTATTGTCTAGGTTCTGAAGTAATTTGTTATGCAGCAAAAGATAACTAATGTGCATATTTAGTCCCCATAACAGCCCTAAGAGGTAGTACTATGATGCCAATTTCATTTAACAAACTGAGGTTGCATTAGAGCTTAAATTCTAAAGCACTTGGTATGTGGAAGGTCACAGTCTACAACAGGAGTCCTAGTTCCATTTTGGATCTTGGCATATGTTCAGACACCATTTGAGTTCTTTGTTAATTTCCCAATGCTTCTTGACCATTGAACCAGTAATGCAGTTAAGCTTAGACAAGTCTAGGGCAAGCTCAGGGAGATTTAAAAGTAGATGAATAGTATGCAGAAAGTGCTCACATAAAGAGCTAGGGAACTTCCCTGGCATACCATTATAAAATAGACACTTGAGGGGGAGAGAAAGGAATAGCCAGAAATATCAACATTGTAAATCCGTCTTCTGCCTATAACTGATTGGAATACCTAAAATGGGGCTACAACGTGACCAGTGAAGGAGGCTTCCGGCCTCTGCATTACATAAGACCATAAGTAGAATCCTGAACCTCACCCAGAATCTTTTGATGTGGGAAATTTCCACTTGAGGGGAGACAAGCAGACCAGTCTGGATAGAATAAAAGAACAGAAGATACTTCTTGAAAGAAAGACCAACAGGAAAAATACAAAACAATAATGGCAGGAACGAAAGCTCTACAAGATGGTGGCAGCTGAGGCTGAGTCTGTGAGGAGTGAATCTGAAACCCAGAGAGGCGAGTCAAGCAGCTAGGTGGCAGAACAAGGACTTGGGGGCAGAGGACTTCTGATCCTAGTGCTTACCATGAAAATACAACTTGGTGTGTGCCTTGCCTAGTTTCACTTGATACTCTTCAGGGATTATGTAGAAAAGAAAAGCTCACATGTAAATCGATTGGAATCACCAAAAGGAATCTAAACAATTATGAGGTGGAATACTTGTGTGACTACAAGGTAGTAAAGGACATGGAATATTATCTTGTAAAATGGAAAGGATGGTCAAATTCTACAAATACTTGGGAACCTTTGCAAAATCTCAAGTGCCCATTACTACTACAGCAGTTCTCTAATGAGAAGCATAATTTTTTATCTCAGGTAAAGAAAGGCAAAGCAATAACTCTTAAAGACAATAATAAAGCTTTGAAACCTGCCATTGCTGAATACATTGTAAAGAAGGCTAAACAAAGAATAGCTCTGCAAAGATGGCAAGATGAACTCAACAGAAGAAAAAATCATAAAGGAATGCTATTTGTTGAAAATACTGTTGATTTAGAGGGCCCACCTTCTGACTTTTACTACATTAATGAATACAAACCAGCTCCTGGAATCAGCTTAGTAAATGAGGTTACCTTTGGTTGCTCATGCACAGATTGTTTCCTTGAGAAATGTTGTCCTGCTGAAGCTGGAGTTCTTTTGGCTTATAATAAAAACCAACAAATTAAAATCCCACCTGGTACCCCCATCTATGAATGCAACTCAAGGTGTCAGTGTGGACCTGATTGCCCAAATAGGGTCGTACAAAAAGGCACACAATATTCCCTGTGCATCTTTCGAACTAGCAATGGCTGTGGCTGGGGTGTAAAGACACTTGTGAAGATTAAAAGAATGAGTTTTGTCATGGAGTATGTTGGAGAGGTA